CAAAAAGAAAAGAAAGGGGAGTAAGGGGAGCTTACTTAAGGCAATGGCTTTGTAGATCTTGGAAAAGTAGGCCAAATTGCCCAAGATCCAAATCCTTAAGCTCCTTGCGCTCATCTCCGGTGGCAATAGGTGAACACTTTTGTTCACAGTAGTTGATTAAGAAAATTAGGGGGAAATTAGATATTTTGGGTTGCAAGTAGGTTGAGAAAGAAGAAGGGGAAGAATTGAAGAAGATGGGGAAGAATCGAATAAGACGAGAAATATGAATTAGGGATTTTTTGTTTAGGGAGAAAGAAGACGATAGGGATTTTTTATTTGCTTTTTTGGTTGGATGAGGAAGAAGATGGGCAAGAAGACGGGGAACAAAGATGGGGAAGAAACATAGGCAATGATTCTAGGTTGTTTGAGAAAGAAACGGGGATGGTAGTTGATGTTATAAATGGAACCCTATATGTAGTGGTTTCTTTGTAAATAGAAGGAAATGTGAGGACAAAATAGGAAGGATGAGTAAAATTCTTTAAAACCAAAAGTAGAAGTCCCCGCAGAAGCATCAATTTCATGCTTCTGAAAATTGCATTAGAATAAACAAAAAAAACTAACTTGTGAGAAGCTAAAATATTTTTCAAAAGTTGTAATATTTGATGCAGTTTGTGCTTTTGAAGCAAAAAAAAACCCTTTTCATAAGCCGCACCAAATGGGTTCTTCAACCTAGAAGGGCTTTTAATCATTTAGCAAAGTAAAACAAAGAGTTTAATTATTTGGTGATACGAAGTGTTTCTGGCGCCAAAAAATTATCTCCCTTTTTTTTTTTTTTAATGAAAAAATTATCGAATACTTGGCGTCATATGATATGCTTTGCTTTTAGTTCTTCTCTTTTGTTAACTTGTTTGCTATGTCAAGTCATAATTTGATCCTTAATATCAACTTATTTGAATTTTAGAGATTACATGATTCTTGGTGGAGTTGGTAATCAAATCTTTAATATTAAGGTATTTTTAATAAGAATAACTTAATAGGTACCTTCAAATTGCATGAGTGGGGTTATTACCATATTTTAAATAATTAATACCACACTTTTTTAACGTAATTATTTATTATACTTTTATATTATATTTTTTCTCAAAAATTCTACATTTTTTATTTTTTTAATAAATTAAAAAATATAATAATAAATTAATATAGAAAAGTATGATATTAATAATTAAAATTGTGACAATAACATTACCCAAATTGCACATCTTTAAACTTATCAAAAGGGAAAAAAGGACATCCATTGTGATTTAAAGAGATGCGAGATTTGGAAAGACCCAATTATAATTAATAGTAATTTAAAGAAGCCAAAGACAAGGTAAAATGAATTTTCTTTCCTCATATTTAATCAAATATATTGAGTTTTAATATGAGAAAATGTACGAATAAAAATACTAATTTTACACCTTTTTTATTTAAAAATATTAATTTTATCAATTTCTAAATATAAATATCAATTTTAACTCTTTTTTTAAAAAATATTTATATTCAATTTTTCTATTTAAATATATAATAAAACCATATGTTAAGCCCTTAAACTAATCTCAAATTCATTTTTGAGCCCCCAAATTTTAATTCCTGCATATAAACCCTCAGACTCCAAGATCTAAGCAGTTTAACCCCTATTCTTACTACAATTTAGCCCCTATTCTTACAATAGTTAAAGAATTAAGTGTTACTCATATCATGGAGTACAGAGGCTTGTATGCATTAATTAAAGTTTAGGGGTTCAATAGAAAATTTGGGATTAATTCAAGGGTTAATATATGGTTTTACCTAAGAACATCAACTTTTAACTTTTGATTAATTAGATGACAATGCTAACGTAACAAACATATTTTTTAATTGAAATATTAAAAATTAATATT